CCTCCCTCCCTCCCTCCCTGCGCTCCCCCTCCTCCTCCTCCTCCTCCTCCTCCTCCTCTTCCTCCTCCTCCTCCTCCTTCCCCTCCTCGTCCTCGTCCTCGTCCTCGTCCTCGTCCTCGTCCTCCCAGAAGCCTCCCTGAGGCCAAGGCGGTCCTCACTTCAGCACACGGTGCGACCCGAGTGTCCCCATGGGAACCCCGTCCGCGCGGTATAATGCCAAATGGGCGACGATCAACAACGGGTCTTACGCGAGACGACGCAGCGACCTTACGTCGCAGCTTACGCGGGCCGCCAGCACGGCACGCTGCATTGGAGACGAGGGCGCATACGCGCGACCTTACGCGGGCAACTTACGCGCCAATGAATGTCAGCGCAGGCGACCCCGTTTTTTGGGTTGCGTTTTTGCGTCGTTCAGAAACTATCTGGTAGGGTTCCGTAGGTAACTAGTGTTATCCAAAACCCGGACAGCAGGGCGCCCGAAGGGCATGGAAATGCCTGGTGAAGCACTCTGGAAGGACCTGTCGCGCGTGTTGGGAAACGCTTAGAAAGGGTCCTTCGGGACCCGTGTTCGGCTCAAGCAACTCGCGCCGAGGCTTCTGGACCGCCGCCAAGATCTCCAGGGCTACCCTGCGGCCCCAGCTTCTAATCCCTCTCTTAGCTCTAAGGAGCTATCCGGGAATCTTCCACGGCCCTTCGCCTCTACCGACCCACATCTGGTCGCGCGCACGCACCCCCCTTCCCGAGTCTCCCCTGGGCGGGCGCCGAGGCGGTGCGCTTTTGGCTTTTGGCGGAGGCCGAGCAGTTGGTGGAGGACGCAGGCCTGGTGGAGGCCGCGCGCCTGGCGGAGGCCCGCGCCGCGCGTGTGGCGGAGGCCGTGCGCCCAGCGGAACACGAGCGCGTGGCCGCGCTGGTGATCGAGAGTGCGGCCCCGCTGGCGGCCGAGCGTTTGGCGGAGGCTGCGCGTGCGGCCGCTCCGGAGGCCGAGCGTGTGGCCAGGCTGGGCGACTTGGCGGATTCGGTGGGCGAGGTGCGGGCCGACGTTGCCGGCCACGAGCTGGACGTGGGCACGGCCGAAGACGACGAGACGGGGCGACTTCGGCAGCAGGTCTCTGAACTGCAGGTGGTGTTGTCCGAGGCTTTCGGGCTCGAAGTGGAGGAGGTCGTCGAGGAGGAGTGGCGGGGGCCCAGATGGCGCTGTAAGGCTTGACGCTTCCTCCTGCCGAGTCGATCCAATCCTCCTTCCCCTCATCCTCCCTCTTTCCTCCAACAGGAGAGCCCACAAGAAGGCGGTCCTCCATGACGTGGTCCGACAGCGGGTCGCCGATGATCCGCTCCGCCGCCTGCGCGCAGCCGCGGGCCGCGTGAGGCCCTGGCAGACGCCGTCGCGCGGCCGCTGCCAAGGCCCTCGCTTTCGACACCGACAGTGACCTGTCCAATCTCCGACGATGTTTTTCAACCGGCGGGCTTTCTTCGGTTTGGCCCTACGGGGCTCATTATCGGGCGCCAGGACCATCAAAAACGCATCCAGGGCAGAAAACTGGCCCCGAGGAAGGAAATCGGGACCTCGTCGGAGATCTGGGCTTCTAGCGCGTGAATATCGGCGGGGCGGGGCTCAGCTCCGCGCGGCGAACCTGCCAGGCTGCTCGGCCCAGCTCACCAACGAATCGCCTCGCCGATCTTAGATTACAGACCACAGCAGGACACATAATGCTCCTCCTCCACGTCCTGCTGCTGCTGCTGCTGATCCTCCTTCTTTTCTCTCCTCATCCGCCACCTCGTCCTCTTTGGAAAAGGAGAATTCTGATCGTCGACGCCAGCCATGCGCACTTTGCCTGTCCCCGCTCTCGCGCCTCATCTCTCTTGTTGCTGCTGGGCCACTAGTGGGGGGAAGGAGGAGGTTGAGGAGGAGGAGGAGGAGGAGGAGGAGGAGATGGAGGAGGAGAAAGCGGGCAGCCGACGACGAAGCTGACGAACGCTGCTTCTCACACTCCGAGACTTCGTGGGAGACAAGTACTGAGCTGATCGCCGTCGACAACGACATGCCAACATATCTTCCGAAGTGCGAGGTGGCGAAGGATGAGGTGGAGGGGGAGGAAGAGGGATGAGTTAACATCTCTCTCTGTGTGTGTGTGTGTGTGCGTGTGTGTGTGTGTGTGTGTGTGTGTGTGTGTGTGTGTGTGTGTGTGTGTGTGTGTGTGTGTGTGTGTGTGTGTGTGTGTGTGTGTGTGTGTGTGTGTGTGTGTGTGTGTGTGTGTGTGTGTGTGTGTGTGTGCGTGCGTGCGTGCGTGCGTGTGCGTGTGTGTGTGTGTCTCTCTCTCTCTCTCTCTTTCTCTCTCTCTCTCTCCCCCTCTCTCAGCGACAGTTATGAGGTTGTGGTTCGCGAACTTGACGTTGTGGTTCCTACTGGTCTTGTGCTGTGGCCTCCTGCGTATTGGATGCGCCTCGTTCTGCGGGCTCTGAGTTCGGCCGTTTGCTCACATACACTTCCCCTTCTGCTGCTCATGATGTCACACCCGCTCCTGCTGATTACCGCTTCTCCCTCTCCCATTTTCCGTTCCTCCTCATCCCTCCCCCTCTCCAGGCAAGGGATGCGAGGAGGCGAGTCGGAAAGGAGAGGGCGTGGAAGGGAGGGGGAGGGACGGGGCGGGGCGGCAAGGGGCATGGAGGGAGAGGCGGGAGGGAGAGAGAGGGAGGCGGGAGGCACCGAGGAGCTCGCCTGTCCGACCGCCCGCGCGCCTGCCTGCCTGCCCGTCGTCGTCCTCGTCGCCGCCGCCCGCCGCCGTCGATCGAGCGTCGTCGATCGAGAGCCGCGCGGGGCGGCGGCGGAGGGGCCTCCAGGTAGGCCTGCGCACGGCTGGCGTCGCCCATCCTCGCGTCGGGCTCGTCTGTTGGCGGCGCGCGTCCGTCGGGGCGCCTCCCGAGGCCCCAAGACCGCCGAGGACCGGCAGAAGCGTCCGAGAACCTCGGCCCTCGGCCCTCGAACCTCGGGCCTGTCGGGGGTAGTGTTAGGTCGGGCCTGTCTCCCTACTGGCCGATTTTCGACGAATAACTAAAAATAGTCAAATAATACCGCCAAATTAACAAAAATTGTCATAACATCGTCCCCATCCTGTTTTTAAAACTATTTTTGAAGATTCCTCCTGTAGAGGGACAGGCCCGACTTAAGGGTAGTGGGGACGGGGGGCGGCTTCTTAGAAGGAGGCTGCTTCTCAGAAGGCGCGGGCCCCACATCTGTAGACGAGGCCCGTGCCCTCTCAGAGTCAGGGGTGCTTCTGAGGAGCCCTCCCCCCCCCTCCCCCATGCCGCCCTCGGCGCGTGAGGTGGTGGTCCAGGGAAGAGCGGGGCGGAGGAGGATCCGGGGAGGAGCACGTGCCGATCCCGCTGCTCGTCGGGGAGGTCCCTCGTCGCAACGGCGGAATTCTCCTCGAACTTCGGGCCAAGATGCGCCCCACGGAATACCGGGAAGCAAGGGTATTGGTACCGTCTTGTTCCCCCAGAGGAGGAGGAGGAGGAGGAGGAGGAGGAGGAGGAGGAGGAGGAGGAGGAGGAGGAGGAGGAGGAGGAGGAGGAGGAGGAGGAGGAGGAGAGGAAGAGGACAGGGAGGAGGAAGGAGGGAGGCAGAGGGAGAAGAGAGGGGGGAACGACGAGGGAGAGCGAGGGCAATTGTTCCCACGGGGAACCGTCGATCGTGCCCCCCCCCCCCCTTGCCAGATGGATTAACAATCTGCCTCGCGCAGACCAACGGTAACACTTCAAGGCGAAGTTGGGGGAACGCAGATACAGCTGGAACATGGCCACACGACCGTGGGTCAAGAACACTGACCCCTTCGCTTACGGCTCAAAGCCCCATGGATATTCACCAGACGAAAACCATTCCAAGGTGGCGAGCCCAAGCACGAGGAACACAAGGGTACCCCTCCAAAACTAAAGAGTGTCCTTGAACCTCGTGCCAACTAAAGAGTCTACTGTCAACCTCGGAGTCACCCGTAGCCACCACAACAACAAAAAGAACATGACCCAGGGACGGACCCAACTCATCTGCACCGTATGGGAATGTCACCGAGTCCATCCAGGACAAATGGACATCTGGAATGGCATGATCTGCTGTCCAGTGCGAAATCGGCACGGGGGACTTATTCATTGCACGCCCAGTGGGGCATGTATGGGGCGACGCAGACGGAGAGGAAATGGAGCGGACAGACAGAATAGCGACTGCGGTGAATAGGAGGCGGAGGCGCACCGCGCAGAGGATGAGTCGCGTCCCCACCCTTCCCCTCAACCTCGCGTGCTCAGGGGAAGCGGGCCTCCAACCGTGGAGGCAGAAGTCGGCGACGCAGCGACCGCTCTTTCACCAAGGGGAGCAGGCTGTGGCGATGGCAGAGCAGCGGGGCCACGATCATCGAGAGGCATACCAGTAGGAGGCGGAGGAGGAGGAGGAGGAGGAGGAGGAGGAAGAGGAGGAGGAGGAGGAGGCAGGGCTCGGGCCCGCCAGTCTGCGTGTTTGCACCGTCGGCGGGCGTAAGCAGGCCAGAGCTCGGCACCAGTTTCTCCGGGCAAGGCCTCGTTTGCGCCTGCTCTTCAGGATACGTATTTCGCCCTTTTGCCCGAATCAGGCGTAATCTGCAGAAGCTGCCGCTGGTGTTCGGCACTTCGGGGCAACAATGCACTTCAGGCAGTCGGGCCGTCCACGCAGCGAACACTGGGCTGGCCCAGGGCTTCGCAACACGACATTTCCAGTCGTTGGAGGAATGCACTTGCTGGACCCCGGAAACCATCAAATATATGGATGACTGAACAACTCTCAATCCCACTCTGAATCCTGCCGCAACTTGAACTTCTCTTGTGGCCCCGGATCATTGAGTCGAAGGGAAGCCCCTTACCTTTGATCCCTTCCCTGCCGGGGGGGGGGTCCCGCGTCAGATGCGACTCCCCCGGGGGGGGGTCCCGCGTCAGATACGACTCCCCCCCAGGACCCAGAATTCCGAGGTCCCCGTGACCCTCCAGGACCCAGCCCCGAGGACCTCCTCTCAGGACCCAGCACCAGGAACCAGCCCCCCAAAAAGTCCAGGACTCCCAGGCCCCAGGCCCTGCTCGCCTCGTCCTGCTCCTATTCATTTCCACCCTCTCCTCCTGCTCCTCCTCCTCCTCCTCCTGTTCCCCTCCTCCTCCTCCTCCTCCTCCTCCTCCTCCTCCTTCTCCTCCTCCCCCCTCCTGTTCCCTGACGTCCTTCGCCTCCTGCTCCTCAACGTCCTTGTCCTGCTCGTCGTGTCCGTCTGCAGGGTCGGCGGCACCGGCCGTAAAGCCTTCGCAATACATTGATGACTGAACAATTCTCAATCCCATCCTGAATCCTGCCGCAACTTGAACTCCTCTTGTGGCCCCGAAGCGAAGGACAACTTTCTTTCCCCGACTCATCCTTGTCCTCTTCCTCTTCCTCTTCTTCTCTTTCTTCTTATTACTCTTACTACTCTTACTTTTCGTCGTCTTCTATGTGGTGTCATTTTGAAGATGATCCACTTTGCAAACATGTCACCAACATCATCGTGACCATCCTCATCACATCAACGATCATCCGTCCCTCTTCCTTTTGATACCTCAGCGCCAACTGCTGCTGCTGCTGCCGACGCTGTCACAGTCGCCCGCGATGGCGCCCACCGGAGCTGGCGGCAGGACCACCACCGAGAGAGGCCCGAGGCCGAGAGTCCTCGTGGCGAGCGACTGCCCCTCCAGCAGGGCGCTGCGCATCATGGCGCGATTCCAGAGGAAGTTGCTGTCCGTCGTCTCCTCCCGATCCCTAAAGGTGATAAAAAACAAGTGTGTCAAACAACAAATGTGGTGGGAACACGTGCTTTTTACATCATACTTGTTTTTAATCACACTTGCTTTCCATCACACTGTTCCATCACACTTGATTCTTCTATCACACTTGTTCGACATTTGTCCAATCGACTTGTGGGGGTCAAGCCATATAAACAGAGGTAAGTCCGGATGCACCAACGCACGTCTGAATCAATCGAGGTACATCAAGGGGTATCCAGGTGAAAATGCACAAATCGCGAAAGCTCCAGCGTGAGCCGAAGAGTCGCAGAAGTCGTTACAGCCTTGACGATCCCGAGACCGCACGTTCCAAAGAGGACCTGTGCGAACAGCACGCGCTGCCCCCAGCGTTCGTCGAAACAGACGGTGCGGCCCACGGCAAGGGCGCGACGAGCGCACCAGGCGAGAGGACTGGGTGGGGAGGAGGAAAAGGAGGAGGAGGAGGAGGAAGAGGAGGAGGAGGACGAGGAGGAGGAAGGAGGAGGATTCTTTTGAAGCCAACCCCGGTTCCGCCACATGTGCCATTTGCACATGGCGAATGGGCATGAGGTCTAACAGCGCCTAGCTTATAATTGGCAAAATGTCTTCATGCGTATGGTAACGCCAAGCTTTTTGTACGACATCTGATCACCTCGCTGCAAGCGGCCCCACGGATTGTTATGCGAAGCCGCTCTGTGGGGCTCGCAGTTCTTACCAACGCGATCGAAGCGACCACTTGAGGTATGATAGCCGCACTTGTACGAAATACAAGCAACAATCCCGTCCAAACAATCAATCAGCACACAGCGGTGTCCCAGCTCCCGCAGCACCGACGGTTGAGCATGCAAGGGCTGCAAGCACGCACCTCGGAGCGGCTCCACGCTCGGGCGGCCTCGCTTCCCACGGAGACACGTGGCACATTGGCAAAAGCTACCTGCCCAATGCCACTGGTGCGGAGGAGCAGCTGGTGCCTGCTCTTTCGCAGGGGCCTTGACCAACTCAGCATGTTTGTCCATGGACAATTTGGGCCACAACGACACCAACTTGGCACCCAGGCGCCTAACAGCACGGACACCGTCTTCCCTGCGACGCGGGCTTGCGAGCGCAAGCGGGGGCGGCCCAAACAGGAGTGGGCAGCCGAACTGGATAAACTTGTGAGATCCCACTTCGAGACCGTGGAGTCTTTCGTGGCAGCAGTTGCAGACCCGATACGTTGGAGATCGTTCGTTTCAATGTTGTAAAGAGCGCTAATAACACAGAAGAGAAACACTTGGAATGAGAACTGAATTGCCTGTGCGCCCTGGCTAAAATACACAACATCGTCATCTCCCTCCTCTCCTCGTCCTCCCAGCGCGCATTTGGCGCGTCGTCGCTGTATGTCTTGTCGCGCGTTTGGCGCCTCCTGTCCGCCAGCTAACGCGCTTGGCGTTGCTCGCACGCTCGCCAATTGTCTTGCCCACGCGCGCTTTGCGTATGGCTGCTTCGTTCGTTCTCGGGCAGCTCGGCGGACGGGGCAGGATGCAAGGATGCCGCAGCTTTGGCAGAGATGTCGGCCCATTCATTGCCCTGTCTCAGGTATCGCTCCCATTCGTTCTCAACCCCATCGACGGCGAGGTGAGCTCTTATCCTGGGCACCTTAATGTTATGAAGGTGTTCACGGACGATCCAGGCGGCCCCCGAAAACATACGTTTGGCCGAAATCTGTTCGGACCAGGGCGAAAAAGAAAAACAATACACGGACCCGTACTCCACCGGACCCAGACCGACAGAGCGAAACGCTCTGCCGCCGGCGGGGTGTGGGGGCACGGGCCCCAGACGGGCCCGCGAACCCGAACGCGCTCCAGCCCCGTCCCCCTGTCGACCAGGGTGAAGGCCCAGCCCGCTCGGTTGTGTTTTCCCACCGTGCATCTGGATCAAGACCCGTCCAAGAACAAGTCTCCAGTGACAACGCTGTCAATATCTTCCGGGTCCCCCTGCACCCATTCCACCTCTATCCCACCTTCGGCAAGCGGGGGAGGAAATGCACGACCAGGATGCGGGCAGGCTTCGAACACTGCTAACTGGTCGTTCACTTCGCTGGCCCACTTCTGGATCTTAGGGTACAGTCCCACAGTCGGTGCCTCAGTGTGTCTGGGGCCTCGCCATAGAGCGGGCACAACAGGCACCGCAACTTGTAGCGCAAGTCGGCAGCTCTAGCACGCGTGTGCAGAATTTCGGCAAAACGCCCTCAGACAACCTTTCTCGAACGGACTGTACTTCGAGCTCTGGAGGCGCAAGCCCAGCCAGGCAGATCAAGCCGAACGCCGAAGTCCCACTTGAGACATCTCATAAACTCCTGGCGAAGCAACGAACGGATCAACTTAGGAGATAATTTCGTCAATCTAAGCCTCTCGCTAGTGCGGAAGACCGCAAACGACGGCCTGGTTCAGGAAATCTGCTCACACGATTTTCGGAGGGCCGTGATCGGACCCGAGACTGATCGCCACAAAGGCGACTCCCCCGAAAACCCACACCCCAAGCCTCACAGAGTTCGGGAAGCGTCAGCGTATGGGCATAAACACGGTGGTCAGAGTTCCATATCTCCGCGGACCACCTCACAAGCGGCGCCACCGACGCCATCCAACACGGTTCTCCGTGAGCGAGCCAAGCTGAAATTGAAGGTCGCTCTCTCGCAGAAGGCTGCAGAACAGAGGCTGCCAATCGACGCAGGCGCAACAACTTGAAATCGCCCACCCCGTGAACATCAGACCCGAAAAGCTCCGAAGACAACGCTCCCGAACCAAAAACGTTTTTGGCCACACGGGCCTCAACAGTCGGCCTCAAACGGGCTAGCCGAGAAACAAAACCCCTGACCTGTTGTTCTCGTTACTTCTGCTTAGAGCTGCGCTCCTTGACCCGACGAGAACCGACCTACAAACTCATCCACTCTCAGGTTGGCGGCCGAGCTGACTAACGGGCCAGCCAGACCCCCCAGTGCTTGTGCAAGTTCGTGCCCAAGAGCCTTAGACGACACAGCCAGCGACCCCCGCCCCTCATTTGACTCACCTTAGCTCCTATCCCCCCCATGGAGCATAGAAATCAGGGCGCGGGCAACGGGTGGCAGTTGAAGAAAATGTACTGCCTCGGGCCTGTTGCGCTGAAGCCTGAATCGTCGATCTTTAACTTAAAGTGCACCTGCGGCGGGATACACAATGATACCAGAGAAAAGCCCCAATCAACATTGTTTTAAGGCTATAGGGCTATGGGGCTGTAGGGCTCTAAGGCTATGGGGCTATAGGGCTACAGGGCTATTGTGGTGTAGGGCTACACGGCTATAGGGCTATAGGACTATAAGGCTATAAGGCTGCAGGGCTATAGGGCTATATGGCTATAGAACTATAGGTCTATGTTGGCTATAGGGCTATAGGGGCTATAGAGGCTATAAGGCTATAGGGCTATAAGGCTACAGGGCTATAAGGCTATAAAACTGTAGGGCTACCGGGCACCTGGGCAACCGGGCACCTCCGGGCACCCGGGCACCCCCGCGCACCCCCGGGCACCCGGGCACCCGGGCCGGCCACCGAAGTCGGCGACGCACCTCACCTAACCATATGAATCCGCTAGGACCCCTGCAGAGGCAAGCTCTGATGGGGGAAATAATCAAAGGGCATGATCGAATCCACTCGAGAATAAGAGGTCGCAAACGTGCACCCCGCAACGAGGCCCCCACTGGCCCAACAGGGCCCATCCGCGAACCCGTTCAGGACAGAAAATCGAGCCTGGAGGTACATCGAAATCGCCAGACGCGCAATGGCCCAGGGTAACCACCACAGGAGCAGCTTGAGCTCTATCGTCTCATCAAATTAATTAAGATCGGGCGACACCATCGCCGCCGAATCCTTACACAAAGTGGAACTCTCCGCTCGAACGGCCTGCCTCCAAACCACATCCTGGGCCCCCTTAAAGGGCCTAGTCGCGAAGTACTCGCTGGCGTTTTCGAACTCTCACTTCAGGGCTGAGGGCCTGTGCACCTTCCCGTATGCAGGCTATCGCACAGAAGTTGACTATCGGGCGGAACCCTGAGCTGGGCTTCGGGATAAGCGCCAGAAACGTGATGGCAACCTTCCTCGGAATCGTGGCCGTGAGCTCCACCATAGCAGGGAGCCCCGACAAGACGCGCGAAGCAACCCGTCACGCAGGAGGGCAAAACGCTTCCTGTGGAAGCCATCCGCACTATGACTGGCGTTCTCTTTAAACCTCCTCGAAAACTCCCGAATGGCTCCCACGGGCAACTTTGAAGGGGCCCTGGGACACACAAATAAATACACACAAACAACAGGATTCCCCATACTTTTTTTTTGGGGGGGGATTTTCGTCTTCCCCCCACTTCCCATATTTTTGCATATTTTCTGGGGAATCGACAATTAATTGTGTCTGTGAGTTTTTTTCCCTCCTGAAACTAGCTCCAGAGCGAGCTCGCCCACCTCGAACCAAAGTTCCACCCCGACGTCCCCCCAGAAGGCCGAAGACCGCCTGGACTCCGCTTCGAGAAGAGACAGCGGGTCCGCCACCGCCACCCCGTCCTTAGAGAGCAGAACATCCACCCCCAGAATAAGCACCTCGACAAGCGAAGCCGTTTAGTAAACGCACCCATGGAAGGAATCAAACAGGGCAGGGCTGTTCAGTAAACGCCCAAGGCTGTTCAGTACACGCGAATTGTCGGGGTCGGGGTGGTTTTTCCACCCTCGAGTCCTGGGAGAAAGTGGGGAGGACTGGCGCCACGGGCGCTCGTGTTCGCCCAGCGGCTTGCGTAGAAAGAAGGGGGAGGCCGAGGAGGACGAGCGGGTCAAGGAGGGAGGAGGACGAGGAAGAGGGAGCAGGGGAGGGGAAGGGGGAATATGAAGAAACACTGGCGACGTCTCTAATGTGTGATGTTGGGTCTGGACGGATCATGATCGCCACTGGATCGCGAGACGCGGCAATGCGTTGGTCGAGTGGGACTCGCCACC